TGACAAGGGCCTCTGTCTGCGCCTCCTCCTGGCCACGCTGCCCCCGAGCTCCCTGATGGCCTCTGCTGTGTCCCCAGCCTGCCACATCCTGGAGTGTCCCGAAGGGCTTGCTCAGGACGTCATCAGCACCATTGGCCAGGCCTTCGAGTTGCGTTTCAAACAATACCTCAGGAACCCGCCCAAGCTGGTCACCCCCCATGACAGGTGAGTGGGCCAGGGTTGGGGGGCGGCCAGCTCTTGGGCCCCAGACCGGAATTGGAAAAGTAGGTCTGCTCTTCCCACACTTGAGCTCAGAGAGGTGCAGGGAAGGAAATAACCTGTGCGCCCCTGCTTCCCACTTCCTGCTATTCTTAAGTTTCCTGTGGCCATCAGGAAGGTCTTTCGAGGCCCTGCCTGCTGCAGGGCCACCTCTTCCTGTCGTGTGCCCGTGGTGGAGCTGTAGTCCAGGACGTCCACGCTGCAGCTCTTCCCTGGCTAGATGGGCTTTTCTTTTCCCAGCCATCTCATTGCTGGTCTGTCCTTTTGTGCATTTCTCCATATTTAGTTTAGTTCTTCATTTTCTTGCCTCTAGAAGCCGTCAAGAATTTGGGTGAGGGAGGATGGCTCTTTCCTGAGATCCTTACCTTTCCCACCTCAGACCAGTAGTATTGAGTATTTAGAGGAGGTTAAACGACTCTGGAGCACCCCGCTCCCCGGTACTTACTGCTCCCCCTCCCTCTTGGGAGACAGCTTAATGATCAAGGGCATGACTTTAAAGACAAACCTGAATTCATATCTCAGCTCCACCACCTTTTAGTTGTGAGACCTAAATCCTTTTACCCCTGACCCTTATTTTCCTCACCTATAAAATCGAAGAAGGAAATAATACCTACCTTATAGGGTTGCCAGGAGGATGAAATGATTATATATATGAAACACCCAGCCTCAGGCCTACCCCTCAGGGAATGCCCAGTATGTGACCGCTGTTCTGTCTGTTCTCCATCCTCTTACCCATGCTCTTCTCTTCCTCCTGTCCCTCCCAGGATGGCTGGCTTTGATGGCTCAGCTTGGGATGAGGAGGAAGAAGAGCCACCTGACCATCAGTACTATAATGACTTCCCTGGGAAGGAACCCCCTCTTGGGGGGGTGGTGGACATGAGGCTTCGGGAAGGAGTCCCCCAGGGGGCTGCTCGACCCACTCCACCCAGTGCCCAGACCCCTAGCCACCTGGGAGCCACGCTGGTAAGTTGCTTGCATGAAGGTGGGCTGGGCCCAGGAAGGCAGCGTCTGGTTAGGGCCTCTGGTCTCACCCTATTTTTGTCCCTTCAGCCAGTGGGGCAGCCTGTTGGAGGAGACCCAGAAGCCCGCAAACAGATGCTGCCCCCGCCACCCTGCCCAGGTATGAAGGGAGCTGAGAGGGGCAGAGTGGGGTGTGAGAAGCAGGGCGGGGATCACTGTAAAGCCTCCCTTTCCTCAGCAGGCAGAGAGCTCTTTGATGATCCCTCCTATGTCAATGTCCAGAACCTAGACAAGGCACGGCAAGCAGGCGGTGGGGCCGGGCCCCCCAATCCTGCCGTCAATGGCAGCGCGCCCCGAGACCTCTTTGACATGAGTGAGTGTGCCCCTCTCCTTCCTGCATCTGCGTCTTCTCACTTGGTTCCTCCTCTTTTCTTCCTGGCCTCCCCTCCCTGAGGGTCTGGCTCTTGAGCATGTGTTGTGCCAGCTGCCTCTTCTAGCCCTCTCTCTGTACCCCCAGAGCCCTTTGAAGATGCCCTGCGGGTGCCTCCACCTCCCCAGTTGGTGGCCATGGCTGAGCAGCTCCGAGGGGAGCCCTGGTTTCACGGGAAGCTGAGCCGGCGGGAGGCCGAGGCACTGCTACAGCTCAACGGGGACTTCCTGGTGCGGGAAAGCACGACCACGCCTGGCCAGTATGTGCTCACTGGCCTGCAGAGTGGGCAGCCCAAGCACCTGCTACTGGTGGACCCTGAGGGTGTGGTGAGTATCGCAGGGGTATGGGTGGGTGAGGCAGAGAGGAAGGTGCAGTACCCTCCTGTGCAGCCCTGTTCCTGCTTCACTGCTTTCTAGACTTCACCTGCTGGGCACCTCTATCTGAGCCTCCTCTGCTCTCAAGGTGCCTGGCATTCCCCCTCTAGTGGCTTAGGGTTCCTTCCCTTCTCACATCCCTGAACTTGAGCTGTTTTCCCTTCAGTCCCGGCCAATCCCCAAACTTTATGCCCATGAGTGCTGGAAGGTGTACATGTCACCTGAGTCCCTCTTTTGACAAATGACAAAACCATCCTTAAGAGGTTGTGATGTTCAATGTCAGATGGTTAGAGGCTAGGCACCCCAAATCTCCTCTCTCAAGAGGAGCCAGGGGCCTCCCCAGCTTCTCCAGACTCAGGGCTCAGACCAGTGCTCTGTCTCCTGTCTGCACTGTCCCTCTGCCCCTCATAACTTTGGTCTCTTTTCTACAGCAACCTCAGCCTCCTTTGCATGTCTTTTTTGTACTGTGTATCCTCTTCTGAGACATACCACCTTCTTCCAGGTCAGGGGAGGAGTAGCTATCCCTCAGCTTCATGATTTCTGGGCTGATGTCCCCTCTGCCTTTTCCCAGTTCACTGACCTGCCCATTCCCACGGCTATCTCCAGCTTCTCTTTCTAGAGAAGCCTCAATGATCAGGACTGACGGCCCTCCCGCTTCTGCCATCTTTTTCTCCTGCCTCAACCCTCTTGAACATTCCAGCTTCCTCAGCTTTGGGGACTGAGGTCTTATTTGACTCTTCACCTGAATTGACCTTCTCCCTTCCCACTTCCCAGGTTCGGACAAAGGATCACCGCTTTGAGAGTGTCAGTCACCTCATCAGCTACCACATGGACAATCACTTGCCCATCATCTCTGCGGGCAGCGAACTGTGTCTCCAGCAACCTGTGGAGCGGAAACTGTGATCTGTCCCAGTGCTCTCTCCTAGAAGATACCCTGCAACCCCTTCCACCCTATTGTCCAGTTCTCAGGACCTCACTTGGGAGTGTTCTGTGGGCTTGGCCTTGTGTAGGGATGGGGGTAGTGTGGACATTGGGTTCAGCGTCCAGCTGAGTGAGAGGGTTTGAGTCAGGAGCCAGGGGTAGAGTCCTGCTTCTCCCCAAACCTCACCAAAGTATTAATGTACAGAGTGGCCCCCTTCCCTGGGCCTTTCCTGTGCCAACTTGATACCCCCTTCCCCAAGGTGGGTGCTGGAGGCCTGGGCAGTGTGCCTCCTTGTAATGGAAAATGTCCTGTGGTGATAGGCCCAGTGGAGCAATCACCCTTCCAGGGAAGGGGAATGAATCACACCCTTAGTCTACCCCTGGGCTCAGGGTACCCCAGACCCCTCTCAACAACCCTCCCTCCCAGCGTTTAAACTTTGTGCCTTTGACCATCTGCTAGGTCTGAAGATATTTTATGCAAAGAGTTCTTGGGCCCGTGAAGTCAAGCATGGGGGTGCTGACACCTTGGCTTCTGGGACCCCGTCCTCTCCTTGCTCAGTACCCCCTCCCGTTTAGGTTGGGTGAACAGAGGCAGGAGTGGCAGCTGTCCCCTCTCCACCGGGATATGCAGCTCTTAGAGATTGCCTCAGAGCCCCCTCCCAGCCAGTGGGGAGATGGACCTGCCTCTTGCTCAGTGCCTCTTGGGTGGGGCCCCTCACCCCAGGGGGTCTATATATACATTTGGCAAGTCCATCCCCCCCCCCCCCATGTTGCATGCATGTTATACTCTAGAGCCAAAGTACAGCCCTTCCTCCTGTAGCCTCTGCCCTGCCTCCCCCTGCTGGGGTGGTGGGGGGATGACTGAAGTGTCATCCTAGGTGGATTTTGTGGAGGTGGGAACAGGGGCACTGAGACTCTAAAGCAGTAGACAATCCCCAGATACCATCGGTAGATTTGGAACTGCGTTTTTTATTTTATATGCATATATTTTAGGGCTGTAGATTTACTTTACTAATTTGTTTTCCATAGCTTATTCCTGAGCACAAAATGATAATAATCGATTTATACATCACCTTTTTGACTTTTCAAAGCCCTTTTACAACTATTGGCATTTTCCTCACCCTGGCCTTTGCCGGTAGCATTATCTTTTCTGAGAGACCAGAGGCCGAGTGTGAGCTAGGACTAGAGAAACTTGGACCTCCCACCGCGAGGCTGGGAGGCAGAAGTTTGGCTGAATGGATGTTAGTTTCACACGGGGCGGGCGGGGGCGGGGGCTTGGGGACACTTAAAACCTGCAGTTATTGAATCCCTTCTCCAGGCCGGGTCCTGCCGCAAAGACAGAGGAGCCGGCCCTGCTCTGTCATTAGGCCTTGTGGATAAGGGAGCGTGGACTATCTAAATCCTCACCTCCCTTTTTTTTCTTTTCTTTTTGTTTGGATGTTTTCACGGGTCTCACTTATACCAAAGGGAAAGAATCTTCATTAAAGTCCATATTTCTTCTACCTCGGCCTCCTGGTCCCTGTCGCTGCCTATTGTTGGCTGTGGGCCCCCCGTGGCGGGAGGCCGAGGCCGCCTCGGGGCGCGGTGCGGTGCGGCCCGGCCCACCTGGCCTCGCTCGGGTCGCGCCTCCTCGCGGAGGAGGGGCGCCGGGAGGGCGCGGCGGGGTGGGGAGGGCGGGGCCATCATCCAAGGAGGTGTTCGTGTCTGCAACTGGGGCCGCGGCGGCGGGGTGGGATCGCGGCCGGCCGAACCCCAGGCGGCTCGGGCTTCCCAGGCGCGCGCTCACGCCCTCGCGCACCTCTGCGGCGGCCCCTCGGCGGGGGATGGTACGGCCCAGCGCAGAGCCCACGGCCGCCGCCTGCCCTAGTGAGCGGGCACGCGGCGCTCCCGGGCTTGGGACGGCCCCCCGCCCCAGGGTCGTGCCTTGGTACCGCCCTGCCCGCCCGGCGCTCGGGGGAGGGTGTGACCCGGGCCTCGCTCCCCCTCCTTGCCGTGCGCAGTGGTGGCTGCCACGCCGAGTTCCGGTTCCTGTGGCTGCGGCCGCGGGCGGGCGGTAAGGCTGGGCGAGAGTGCAGTTGGCCCCCGGGCTCGCCGACCCCGCCTCGCCGCACCTCCGGCTTGCTGCCGCGCGGGGGCCTGCGCCGCCCCAGCCTCCCCTTCCGGGCCATGGTGCAACCCCAGGGCGCGTCTGTCCCCCGCCGCCGCTGACCCCGGTCCCCCACTCCATGGCCGCCTCGGCGCCGCCCCCACCGGACAAGCTGGAGGGAGGTGGCGGCCCCGCACCGCCCCCTGCGCCACCCAGCACCGGGAGGAAGCAGGGCAAGGCCGGTGAGAGCGCTGAGGGGGCCTGGGGCTGGCGAGGCCGAGAAGTCGGGGAGCTCGGAGGGAGGGCTGGCGGGCGGGGGAGGTGGTGGTCCTCTGGCTGAGGGCTCTGAAGGTCGGGGAGGCTCAGGTGAAAAGGATGGGTGGGTGAAGCCCTCAGGGGTTGCGGGCAGGGGTTCACAGATTGCGGATCCTAGAGTTTGGGGCACCTGGAGTTCAGGAGCCACTTGGGAGTCTGAGGGTATCAAGAGATGGGGCGTCTCATTTGAAGGAAGAGGCAGCTGAGAGTGTAGCGTCCAATTTATTTTTCAAAGTGTACCATTGTTAGTATCTGTGAAGTAAATAAACAAAGAGTATAGTGAAGTTAGAAGAGTTCCTTATATCATGGCTGCGAGAGAGGAGGTTGGGGAAAACTTCAGGGAAACTTGTGTCTGCGTTTTACTACTTTTCCAGGTCTGCAAATGAAGAGCCCAGAAAAGAAGCGAAGGAAGTCAAATACTCAGGTGAATGGTGGTTGGAGGCAGGGGTAATTCCTAGCAGCCCCTTTGGGCTCTGCCCCTCCAATGTCTCTACTTTGCATAAGCCGCGGGGAGAAGAGAAAGTTGTCTTTCTTGTTCTGTTTCTGGTCCTTTCCTTCAACTTCATAACAGATTTTAGGGGTAGGGGTGGGGATGAGATGGTTTCACCAAAGGTCTTACCAGTCAGGATTAGAAACATTCTCTCCCCCGTTTGTGCTGTCGCGTTTCCCACATGATGTTAACAGCTACCACTTACTGAACCTTTTCTAAGTGTCAGGGATTGTGCTAAAACTAGCAGTTTGGGGAGATGGACATTGTCACTATTTTACAGATGAGGAATCTGAGGCTTAAAAAAGTTAAATGCCTGCACCAGGGCCTTGAAGTTACTCAGTGTCAGAGCTAGGATTCCAGCGTAGTTCTGCCTGTTTTCAAAACACAGTTACTGCACTATGCTGGTTCTGCTCTCCACTCTCAGTTTCTTTGTTGCATTCTAAGGTCCATCTTGATTTAAGATCTGAGCTGGCCAGTACCAGCCTCCAAAAATGTGTATTGTGTTTCTGATGCTCTCTTGGTTTAGCTCTCCGTCTCCCTCCATGACCCTCTTTCCCTCCTCTTTTCCCCCAGGGCCCTGCATACTCACATCTGACGGAGTTTGCGCCACCCCCGACTCCCATGGTCGATCACCTGGTCGCATCCAACCCTTTTGAGGATGACTTCGGAGCCCCTAAGGTGGGGGGTGCAGCCCCTCCATTCCTGGGCAGTCCTGTCCCCTTTGGGGGCTTCCGTGTACAGGGGGGCATGGCAGGCCAGGTACCCCCAGGCTATGGCACTGGGGGTGGAGGAGGCCCCCAGCCTCTTCGTCGACAGCCCCCCCCTTTCCCTCCCAACCCCATGGGCCCTGCTTTCAACATGCCCCCACAGGGCCCTGGCTACCCTCCCCCAGGCAACATGAACTTTCCCAGCCAACCCTTCAACCAGCCTCTGGGTCAAAACTTTAGCCCGCCTGGTGGGCAGATGATGCCAGGCCCCGTGGGGGGATTTGGCCCCATGATCTCACCCACCATGGGACAGCCTCCCAGAGGGGAGCTGGGCCCCCCTTCTCTCCCTCAACGCTTTGCCCAGCCAGGGGCACCTTTTGGTCCTTCTCCTCTCCAGAGACCTGGTCAGGGCCTCCCCAGCTTGCCCCCCAACACAAGTCCCTTCCCTGGTCCGGACCCTGGCTTTCCTGGCCCTGGTGGTGAGGATGGGGGGAAGCCCTTAAATCCACCTGCTCCCACTGCTTTTCCCCAGGAGCCCCACTCAGGCTCCCCGGCTGCTGCTGTTAATGGAAATCAGCCCAGTTTTCCCCAAAACAGCAGTGGGCGGGGTGGGGGCACCCCAGATGCCAATAGCCTGGCACCCCCTGGCAAGACAAGTGCGGGCTCAGGGCCCCAGCCTCCCCCAGGCCTGGTGTATCCATGTGGTGCCTGTCGGAGTGAGGTGAACGACGACCAAGATGCCATTCTGTGTGAGGCTTCCTGCCAGAAGTGGTTCCACCGCGAGTGCACGGGCATGACTGAGAGCGCCTATGGGTTGCTGACCACTGAGGCCTCTGCTGTCTGGGCCTGCGATCTCTGCCTCAAGACCAAGGAGATCCAGTCTGTCTACATCCGCGAGGGCATGGGGCAGCTGGTGGCTGCTAACGATGGGTGATGCTGGCGAGGTGCGCAGGAAGTGCATACGTTCCTCCCTGCTCTTCCAGGGTGGTTGTTTTCCTGTCTGGCTCTTGGTCCTTGTTTCCACTGGCTTCCCATCCCCATGGGGCAGAAACACAATGTCTCCTGGGGGCAGAAAAGGAACTGAGATGGGCAGGCAGAAGAGCCTGGATTGCTCACTTTTCTGGAAACTTACGTGTTGACATCTACAGAGGTCCAGGAAACCAAAGCCCTGCCAAGCAGAGCCATTTTTGGTGGCTGTCTTTGGAGGCCTAGGGGTGTGGCTGCAAGAGAAAAGAGGCTGGAGGAAGACCTGAAGGGCAGGGGTGTCTCCTCTACAGATGATGGATACCCCCGACACCTGTGCCTAACACTCCTATCTAGCCCCCCAGCCTTAGGTTTTGGAGTCCAGTATTAAAGGTTTCTGGCCAGAGGAGTTGGGGGTCTCTTCCCATCTCTGCAGTAGCCCTTTCATGGGTGCTGGGAAACAGCTTTAGAGAATAAATGGAGATTTTCCCCTTTTCTTACCTTCCCCTTGCCTCCTCCAAGACCTACCCAACTCCTCCCCCCTCAGAGAACCAAATAGCTTGAAGAAGCAGGAGAGTACGTGGCTATGGCCACGTGGCTTGGTGATTTGGGGCTTCAAGACAGTAGGTAAGAGATGCTGTCAGGACATACCTTCCTCATACCAAAGTCACTGGTCCTTTCTCAGACTCTCTTGTGCTTTTTCCCTAATGACAATATTCTTGCTAAAAATTGGGATATGTGGTCTGACAGAGCAGAATATTTCATGTTTGGACTGTCCTGGAAGCCTGGACTCTGGCTGTACACCCCCCCATCTGTTGCACATTATTCGCAGCGCTGGTCTTCAATTTTTGGCGCCCTTACTTCCCTGCTTCCCTGGTTTGATTGAAGGAAAGCTTGAAGAGGCGCAGAGCCCTTATACCTCATTTTTTCTCCTGATGAAAGGATCCCTGGCCCTGCCTGTGGGTGGGGAGGTGGCAGGACCCTTATTGCCATGGTACTAAAATGCAATCCAGAGCCTGGATGTTTTTTGTTTCTCTCTTTCCCTGCTATTCTTTATATCTTCTCCGGCCTGGTGATCTAGCTGTTCTCATTCCTCTCAGCCAGGGTCCTGCACTGGGCTTTGTTTTTATTTTATTTTGTAAGCACTGCCTGCCAGAGATGGGCCAGCGGCCTGAGCAGGAGCCCCTCACAGCTGCTGTCTCTTCCTTACAGCTCGTGCACACATTCCTCAGTGGGGTGGGGGAGGCAGGCTTGGGGTGTGGCCCTGAGAGGAGCTGGTGTTCCCCTGCCCCCACTTCTCCCGGGACCCTAGGGTGTGAAGAGAAGACAAAGGTATACTGCAGAACTCTTGCCTGCCCAGGTGCAGCATGCAGCCTCTGAGGCTGTGAGAAAGAAGGGAGAGGCCTCTGGGCCTCTCTCCAGTGTTCCCTGCCGCGGAACAGCAGAGATGGCAGCCCCCCCCACCACCACTGCTGAGCTTTGTGTTGTGTTTGTGGTTCTGTTTGTCCCTCTTTTATCGGTTGCTATTTTTGTGGTCTCCCCCATCTCTGCATTTGGTAAGATGGCTCTTGCAGGGGGGTGGGCGTGTCAGCTCAGTCCCTCTCTCCCTCTCAGTCCACTGCTTTTTGGAAGGAAGCGGGGGTGGCAGAGACGTGGTGGGGAAAGTTTTGTACGGTTGGGTTAATAAAATGACTTGGAAAATCCAGACCAGGACTCCTTGCTGCTGGGGTGCACAGGGTTGGAATGAAGCAGGCACTGCTGGTCAGGATGGTTGCGGGGTGAGGATAGGTATCCCTCAGGGTCCCTGGAGGTGGGAATGGCAGAAAGACTCGGGCCCCTCTGCTGACCCTGGTACAAGCCGCAGGGCCCAGGGAGGCCTCTGGGCTCCACCTCTCGCCCTGTGTCCCTGCTGCGAGAAACAACTTTCCTTTCTGAGCATGTTCCTGGGCCAGGCTTGGAGCCAAGCAGGAGCTTTGGCTCCAAGGCTTCAGGGAGACAACTGCCTTTAGAGCTTCTGGGGTTAGCGCCCGCACTCCCACTCCCGAGTTGTTTGGTTTAGGGGTCGAGCGTAGCTCCAGGGGTGGGGGATGGGGCTGCCTTGGTCTAGCAGATTTCGTTTTTGGATGCTTTTCAGCCCCCCCATCCTCCTTTAAAAAAACAGCGGCATCCTTAATCCGCACCGGAGCAGGGTAAGGAGAGTGGCAGGAGGGCTATTTCCAACCTATAATTTGCCACTCTCCCCTCCCCCATCCTGCAGCTGTCTCTGTCTGTCCTGGAACCAACCTGGCTCCTTGTCCTGGAGATGTCACGCCTTGCCTTTCAGTTTTGGGTCTTCCCTCCAGAAATTGTTTAGACACTGGGAAAGGAGGGAAGGTGACCCAGGATTCAGTTTGCTGGAAGTCCAGTGTCCCACCGGGAGGTAAGCCCAGGTTTAGGGGCTCTGCAGGTACCCGCTCTCCACCCCTGGCTCTCAAGTTTAGCTGTTATTGGCCAAAAGTTTCCGCCCCCTCAGGGAACTTGACTTTCCATTGGCCAGTCCTTAGTCACATGACCTTCCTTTCTCGGGGCTGTGAAGCTGGAGAGCCAGCAACAAGTTCAGCTGAAGACTGAAGCAAGAGCTGGGTCAGGTAATGCCCTAGCGGGGAAGGGGCCATAGATCTCCGTAAGAGAGGAAGGATGGAGGAGAGGAAGGGCAGAACTCTGAAGGGTTGGGCCCCACCGAGGATCTGCAGAGCTGTTTGTTACTTCTGGGCCGGCGGAAGGGGGATCATGGGCGGCCGTTTCCAAAACAGAAACTTGCTCTGGGTCCCCCAGACAATTCCTAGGTCCTTTGCGTTAGAGGTTTGGGGGAACAACTCTTAGAGGGGTTGAAATTAGCTGGATGAGACTTCCCAGCTTTGTACAGAGAGGGAGAGCTCCCCCTTTAGCTGTCTTTTAGAAACAGCACAAGTCCCTGACAGTCCTTACAGGACGTTTTTGTTGAATCCTGCCTGAATGAAAAGAGAGGGAGTAGTGAGGAGGGGGTGGAGGTGGGTTTTCTTCCAAGAGGTTGATGAGAAGAAAGAGATCTGAAAATAGCAGGGAAGGGTGGGGATTAAACAGCAGAAGGAACTTCCTAATAAGGCAGTGAGATGCTGGCTTGGGAGAACTGGGAGATCTTTTGGAATGTTGGGTGAACCCAACCAAGATAGAGATATCAACCAGGGTTTGGAACAGACTGTCTTCTGTTCGGGTCTCAGAAGTATTTGTCTTGTTGACCCAAATACCGTTGCTGGTTTCCATGGAAACAGTGTGTCTGACATCACCCTGGTTGCCATGGTGCCTGGTTCTGGAGGACCTGAGCAGGCTGTACACAGCCAGGGATAAACAGGGACTTCAGACCAAGCTGCTGCTACTTCCTTCCTGCCACCACCTGTTAAGAGTCACACGCAGCAACTGGGGGTGGGGAGATGATGACAGAATGGCGGGGTTGGGGCCTGAGACCAGAAGGCAGCACAGTGATGGTTCTGTGGATGCCTGTAGAAACCGGCCAGGGATGTGCTGTTGGACGTGGTGTGGGGAAGTCACTGCAGCCATTCTCCTGTCTCCTTGTGGGATGGGTGCATGTGTCTGGGAGGCATGGGTATTGGGGGATGCTGTGAGGGGTCCTTCATCTGTCCTGGGCTTGGATCTTGATTGGCAAGGGCCACAGGAGGTTTTTAGGGGACCATGTAGGACTCACACTAGCTCAAACAGCAGGGGGAATTGTGGTGGTTTCCCAAGGTAGAACTGCCACACTTCTACCCCAGCCTCACTTCCTTTTCCCAGGGTTTCCTTTCAGAGTCCTTTTCCACTTGCCACCTTTCTAGTCCATCAACAAGCAGTCATGTAGTCTCCTCTAAAGGATCACAATCCCAGATTCGAGGGGGTCAGCTCCTCTATCCCTCCACCTTTATGCCGGGTCCCAATTGCCAGCCTGGGGGAGTAGTCTAGGCCATGGATGGAGGGGTAGGTCCTTCTCTTCTCATCCTGCCTTGTGTCAGGCTTTGGAAACTGGAGTAACTTCCCACGCCCACCCGGCCAAGTCAGAGCAGATTAGCAGGGGTTAGGACCACAACCCTAATTTTTGTCCATGCTTTGCAAACTGTAAAGTGCTTTATACATGATAGCTGCCATAAATCCCTTTTGCCAGTCACCTTCAAGTTCCCTAAGATGAAATTCTGGAGTTTACTAAGAAGGGAAACAACTTAGAATGGAGAGTGAGAGTGACAAAGAGATTTACTAAAGGTACATTGAGGTGGATCTAAGCTATGCCAGTTGTTCTCAACCTTGGCTGCAAATGAGAATCATTTGGGAGATTAAAAAAATATCCTTCCCTGAGCCTGACCCTTGAACACAGTTGTATCAGAATCTTAGGTGATTCCATTGTGCAGCCAGTGTACAAGACCCCTGAACTAGACCACAGAAAGGACTTATGGTGGGTGATGGGTGGGTGACTTGGGGGTGAAGGAGGCCATTGAGTCTTCTTTTCTAGGCTCTGGGGAAGAAGGTGGTGATTATGGGGAAGGCTGGGGAGGTGAAAGGAGGGCTGGGTTGTTCCTCTTTTTAGCTGTTCATCGTTGGCAAGTCATGTCAGCCAATTTTCTGGCCTTCATTTCCCTTCATTTTCTGGCCTTCATTTCCCTTCATTTTCCCTGACTATAACATGAGAGAGTTGGCCTGGATTTTTCCCAAAGCCCTTCCAGCCCTATGCTTCTCTGACCTTTCAAGGTCAGTTCTGTTTCCCAGTTTACCAAGGGCTCTTTCGGTCCCTGGCAGAGGCAGGCTTCACTGTGGCTGTTGGTACGTTCTGATTTGAAAGGCAAATACTGCCCAGAAGAGCTGAGGTGTTGGGGTCAGAAGACTGGAACCAGGCTGGCTGTGGTAGTGGCTGCCCAGCCCTTAAACCTTGGAACCCGGTCGAGGCTGCTGTCTCCATCCTGCCTCCCCTGAGGGGAGCTGGGGTCCTTAAGAAAGACTTTCTCTGCAGGTGGCAGCCTCAGTAGCCTTGGGGACCTCAGCAACTATGGCCTCCTGCCCAGACTCGGACAATAGCTGGGTGCTTGCCGGCTCAGAGGTAGGAAAAGCAGGCCTGGGAGCCACATGGAATGGGGGTTCCTACAGGGCTGGGCTGCTTGCTGGGTCTGTCCCCTTCCTTGGTCTTGGTGATCATGTGCATCACCTCCTGCTGGCTGTGAGAGGAACTCTAGTGGCAGGGAGAAGGCCATCAGGCCCCAGGAGTCAGGTGTTGGGACTTGGACCATGCCTTGAAAGAAGGAAATTGCTGGGGTAAGCTGTGAGAAGCAGGGAAGATATTCTGGTGGGGAGACCAGCATGAGCAAAGGTCCTGAGGCAGCAATGGGAGAGCCGTGTTGGGGGAGACCAAGGAGGTCCGTTGGAGGAGGTGGAGACATGGGTCAGACGGTGTTGAAGTGAGGTTGGGCCAGAGCCTGGGAACCTCCAGAAGAAGCCTGGAGGGCCTGGCTCAGGCATTCGGGCCTCCTCTTTGATGGGAAATCGTGGAAGGGCTCTGAGCTGGAGGGAGTCAGGACCATCACTGCTTTGGGCAGAGGGTGCAGCCGCTGTGTGGGCTGGGCGGGAACTGGGGGAGAGCGTTTTGAAGGTCCTGCAGTCCAGGTTGTAGTTGGTGGGGCGGGATCCCAGTAGACCGCTGTGCCCTGAAGCCACTGAGAAGGGGACCAGCGGGATTGGGGGGCTGAGTGTCTGGACAAGGTTTATCAAGGGCTTGGTATGTTTGTACCGCAGGGAGGGAAGAAGGTGAGGAGCTTGAGTTAAAGGCGTCGGGTTTGAGTGGCCTTGAGGAGACCAGTTGGGGGTGAGGGAGCTGCTCTCAGGATGATGCTGGAGCAGGGCCCATGGACTAGGGCTGGCCGGCAGAGGGGAGAGCCAGAGCCCTGGCGCCCTGTTGAGGTGCCTTTGCTGACAGCTGGGGTACCTTGGGCCAGTCGTTTCACCTCTCTGTCCTCCCCTGTAAAAGGGGAGTTGTGATTCTTGCCTGGTAGGAGGGGCCATGAGAAAAAAGTGACTTGAAAATTGTAAAGAAACATACTAAGGTCAAGAATTATTCTTGGAAGGATAGCGGGAGCCATGGATGGGATGAGCGGGCGGTGGCCTGTCAAGGGGGCATAGGCGGAGAAAGGAGAGGCCGTGGCTGGACGGCCGGGCTGAGAGCACCTTGGGAGACAGTCTGGCTGTGGCTGGGGTGAGTCACGTTTCTGTCAGCTCCTGGGAGAGGAGTGTGTGGGGAGGGGGGAAAGGCCAGAAAAGCTTGGAAGATGTAACTAGAGTGGGTGGCCCGTTCTGAGGGCAACTGTGGGGAAGCCTGCGGCGGTCGGGACCGTGATCCTTAGGCATCCAGGGGACTTTGTTCTCTTGCCATCCTCCCACCTTCCAACCAATAACTGAGTTGGTCACTTGTGGGGAGGGAGACCCAGGCTCTAGCCGGCTTCTCTGGGGAGGTGGGGGGCACCAGGTTTGTACAGTGGTCCACCGCCTTGGTCCAGTGGTACTTCTTCATTTAACAGAAACTTGGCCTCTGAAAGTTCTCAGAGCAGCAAGTGAGGTTAGGGAATGGCCAAACACTGTGTAGAGCTGAGATGCTGCAGTGCCAGCTGACCCCCGCCCCATCCCCACTTTGGAGCAGCCCACTACAGAGTGTATTATATTTT